CTCTCTCTCTCTCTCTCTCTCTCTCTCTCTCTCTCTCTCTCTCTCTCTCTCTCTCTCTGTGTGTGTGTGTGTGTGTGTGTCACACACACACACACACGGTAAACAGCAAAACAAGTTTAAGGTCAGAGCCACCAAGGGGAGAGAGACACAAAACCGCCAAGTTGTGGTTCGAAGGGTTTATTTACTTGCAAGTATCTCAAGGACAACCCCCACGTTCCTGATAACAGATATTTCCAGGGGGAAGGCAGAGGAGAAGGGTCAGGTACCCAAAAACTTGTCCACAGGCTCAGGGTAGAGAGCTGTACCCCTATTAGAAGAACCATTTCTCCATTCTTCCACTATTTGGAAGGGGAGGAAGAGCAGATGAGGAGGAGGAGGAGGAGGAGAAAGAGGGAGGACGAAGGAAAAGGAGGAAGAAGGGGAAGAAGAGGAGGAAGAGGAGGAAGAGGGAGGAAGAGGAGGAAGAGGAGGAAGAGGATGTGCAGGAAAAAAGGAGGAAAGGAGGAAAAGGAGGACGAGGAGGATGATGAGGATGAGAAGGATGAGGAGGATGAGGAGGATGAGGAGGAAGAGGACGAAGAGAAGTCGACGAGGAGGAGGAGGAGGACAAGGAGGGGATATCTAGTTTTTTTCTCAAATTTGTTAAAGACACTTAGAGATGGTTGGTGACACTCAGCGACACTCAGCGACACTAAGAGGAGGAGGGAGAGGCGGGAGAGGAGGAAGAGGAGGAAAAGGAGGAAGACGAGTAAGAGGAAGAGGAGGAAAAGGAGGAAGACGAGGAAGAGGAGGAAGAGGAGGAAATTGTCTATCCTTTTCTATGGTTCTTGAGACAATTTGTTAACACTTGAAGCCACTTAGAGACACTTAGAGGCACTAAGCCACAGAAAGAGAGAGTAGGAACTTTCAACAGAAGTGCTTTTCCAGAGTGAGTGAGTACTTTGTGAAAGGCCTAAGGTTATCAGGCTGTTGAGCCTGAAACATGCAGCCCAGATGCCCAGCTTGTATGACCGCCAATTCACCCGTCGCAAACTGCTGATCAGGCTGTCGAGCCTGAACCATCCAGCCCAGATGCCCAGCTTGTATGACCCCAAATTCACCCGTCGCAAAACTGCTGACCAATAAGAAAAGGCCCAAGAAGACCCTTTTTTTTCCAAGCAGGGGTCCAGGGGGTCAGTATGGTTTCCTGCCAATTGTCAATCTGCCTTCCTGAAAACACTGACAGGGGGGACGGGGAAAAGGAGGTCTCTGAAGCGGTACACAAGAAGGGCATAGACTTTAAGCTTTAAAGGCGTGTTTGCTGAGGCCCTCAAAAAGCATGAGGAAACCCTTCGACCACTCAAGGACTGATGAGGTCAACAAAAAACCTCCAGGTGGCTTCTAGGTGCTGTCAGGTAGCTGTCAGGTGGGGCAGCAAGGGTATATAGCACCAGATCCCGACCCTCACAACGCACATGACACACAAAATTACTTTTAAATTATTCAATTCTTTTTTTTTTTTGTCTGTTGTTGTTGCTGGTTGATACAGTGACTCACTAACCGACTGTGTTTTACCGCACCAGAGCCCAACGTCATCAGTCGTTAACGACTCTTCAGTCAAGTTTTTTTGTTTTTTCTTTTTTGTTTTCCAATGACTCTTTGTTCTTTTTCTTGTTGTTTTCAGAAGGTTTTTTTTTTCCGCCAATTCTCTGCCTTGGTTAACCTCTTTTGCCTTAGAAGTCGGAACTTCTGTCTTCACCCGAAAAGAAATTATGTCACACAATGTTTACACTAATTCAGTCTACATACACAGATAATGACGGTGCATTATTTTCGGGTGATGATGGTAGATGAAAAAATAACAACCAACCGCTGGGCTTAGCTCAGTTGGTATACCCATAGTCTGTTGAAATGAAGACCTGATTTCGAACACAGATGGAACCAAAATGAACGGAATTCCTGAATTACCCGGGGGGCCAATCAGTTTCACGATGATACCTGAAGGCTGCCACCGTTGTTGTTTTTTACCAGCTGAGAGCAATAATTTGAAATTTCAACAACATTTTTTGCAAAAATAACTTAAATAAGTTATAATTTATAAATCATTATGGAATTGTGAAAGTGGCCTACTTTATTTATAAATAAATAAAAAAGTGGCCTACTTTGGCGCCTGTCCAGTGGCTGAATCATAAACCAAACACCTGGAAGGTTGAGACAGATTTCATCAACAGGTGCCGTTCAAGAAATCAAATCGTGTTAGACGCAACGATATAAGGGGGGTTGGTTGGAAGTATGGATCACGTACCTCTGGGCCTAAGCCCTCCTCCGTGCATGCACGGTTTGAACCAGCAACCTTGGCCACAAGAGCCAAGTCTTTTATAACCACGACAGCCAGGACACGGTGTTCAAAAGTGGAACCATATCGGTCATGATATCCACCCCACCCCTGCAAGGCTGTAGTGTCCAAACTTCCAAACCCAACACAACACCACACTCAACTCCACATGGACAACACACGGACGCGTCGGCAATTCTCGCACACTCAGCTCCAACTGAGTAGGTATCCTTTCCTCCAACCTTTTTTTTTTTTTTTTGTAGATGCATGATGCTGCGAGGGTTTACCCCTCGGCATAAGGCCCTGCAGCAGGTGCGTGCCTGCCCTAAGTGAACGTGGTCCCCCTCAATGTGCCCTGAACTCGTCAATTTTTGCAAATCTTGGTGAACGCCAGACAGTTGCCACACGCCAGTTGGTTACATCCGCTTTGCTTGTGAGAATCAGAAATATTCGAGAGCCTTCCAGGCTCTTCCAGCAACATGGTCGAAGCAGGGAACACCGCACGTTTGTGCCTGGGTGGTTGGGCGTGCCTAAACAATTCGGTCCCAGGCCACTGTCTGAGCGGGCCTGGTCGCAGACACTTTGGCCCAACGTGAAGCTAGAGGGCACATGCGCGACCAAGCCCGGCTGCAAAACTGGGCAAGCACTTTCCATATAGGCAAGAGCTCACCAGGGGGAGGACATTCGGGCACTGGCTTGTGCAAGCGGCAGCGCAGCTGGAGCGTGCGCTCGCAGGCTGCTTGCTGTGCGCTAGCGGATGCCGGGTGCGTGCGGTCGTCGGGAAAGAAGGCACGGCGCTGCCCAGGGAAGCGCACGTAGCCAGGGCTTGGCTTGGATAGCCAGTGGAGGTGGTGGTGGTCTTCGTGTATGAGAGAGAAGACGTGGGTGATGAAGTCGAGAGAGATGAGGTTGATGATGTGATGGCATGTACCTGGTCTTGGCGATGGTCTACAGAGTCAGCATCTTCATGTACTTCCGTTGTAGCTGCTGACGTCAACAGGTTGCATTGTCAATTCGTAGGCTGGTAGTGGCTGTATTGTCAATTCGTAGGCTGGTAGTTGCTGTGTGATTGTAGGCTGGGCACTGAGCGCCAAATAGGAGGAAGGGCTCCAGATACACATATCGGTGGTGGCGAGAGTATGTCCCCATTGACATTCGGATTCGGTGCATTGATTCTTTCTGCCTTTTTTCAATGTGATTTTGCATTCTGGAATCCTGTCATTTCGCTATCGCTCATTTTCCTTGCACTGCCTTCTCCTCATATGGGAGGACAGCTGCATTTTTACTACTCTATGTTCGTCTCTCAATATTTTATAATTTTTCCTTCTTATCTCCCACTACCTATCACGGGCTATGCAATTGGGTCCAGGGTTGAGGTCTATAGAAACACGAGTCAACTACACTACAGCTTAGGCTTAGTAGGTTGGTAGATTTACGGCGGAGCCTTACCCAACTTATCCCCTATCAAAAAATTATTTTTCTTCATTTTCTTTTTAGCAAGTGGACGAGTTTTAAACTGCCAGTGGACCGGCCCGCCATCGGAAACCCCCCTTTCAGTTAACACGGGCCCGCGGAAGGGCCTGGTGTGCTCGTCAGAAACAGGCTGAAGGCGGGCCGGTGAATGGCAAATGTGCCCTTTTGGATTTTCTTAGGCCCTGCCCCCGGGCAAAAAACCCGAATTGGGAAAAAGAGACTCCTGTCCACTAATGGTTTTCTGCAATATACAGCAAACATTTTCAATGCAAATTTGTCAAACTCCACAAAAGTCTATATACGATGGGTAGCGGGGGCTCATTCACGAATTCAACGCATTGAAATTTGATAACCCTGCACAAGCAAAAGGAAAAGTTATCCAAGGCCGTCACCCAATACCAGTTCGCACGAGCCTGAGGTGACGAGGCTGCCTTCCAAGGCTCGCGGGCCTGCGGCGGCGCCTTTTCAAGGTGGTCTGCCGCTTTTGCTACTGATCCAGGCCCAAAACCATGTGCTCTTACCGCGTATACCGGTAAGAGCACTACATACGTTCGTGTGACCTGGTGGTTTAAACTTTAAGCAAAACACAAAACAAGCTAA